CACTACTGCTACTGCTGCTGCTACTGCTACAGCTGCTGCTGCTATTCCTACTGCTGCTGCTACTGCTGTCACAAACGCTGACGACGCGCACTATCAAGGAAACCAGGCAGCTACAAAAAATATATGAAATCTGCATGAACACTGAACAGTACATTGTCGTATACATTTCTCATTCTCGTCTACCACGGAACCAGACACGTCTCGACGACATTTTAAACGACTACGAATTAAAGCCTACTTCCACGCCGCGCCTATATCATTCTGTAGCGTCGCGTACTATATTAACACACCCCGAGATAACTACTAAACACACACGCACGCACGCACGCCCGCACGCCCGCACGCACGCACGCACGCACGCAGTTTTATCAGTAACACGTGAAAGACTCGTAGGTAAGCGTCATGTTCACCTACTATCAGGAGTCCCTATTATCTACTCCTGCTACTATGAATCTAACGACGCAGGCAATCACGTCTGATAAATAGAACCTCTCCTTTACAACATGTATATACATAACACACGATGTCGACAATATGAGCTGTACATGAAATCACATCGAATAAACTATTAACAAATCAGTATACGTGAAATTAATAACTATATATACGTCCAAAATACATGTACATATACATACACACGCACGTACGCACGCACGCGCGCACACACACACACGCACGCACGCACGCACGCACGCACGCACGCACGCACACACGCACGCACGCCGACGCAACGCACGCCACGCACGCACGCACGCACACACACACACACACACACACACACACACACACACACACACATATACATATACATATACATATAGATGGATAAAGGCAGACTTCACCTGCCGGAACTTTACTAGCTGTAACGCACACTATGACCGATGGTGATAGAAATATATTATTATGAAGAGAACTTCGCTGCCTCCTTCTGCCTCCTCTCATTTTCCAATCTTTCCCGATTCCTCTCCCCATTGTCCACTATTGTCTCTCTGTCGCTCTATTTCTACCCCCCCCCCCCTTACAAATATCTCTCAGACACACAGCCGTGGCAATAAACTGTGAAAATATAGGACTAGCTTTCACCCAAGATCAACCCAACCAACGTAAATCGCCGTGACTACGTCACGATACATTACAATACCACACTGGAGGTGTTGCACCGCTGGCTACGACGCATGCACGCCGCCGATGTCGGATTCCCATCCATATCCCTCTCACCGAATCTACAATGTGTCATCTACGAATACAACCCTACACGTCAGAAGACACTCGACATGTGAGAGCCTCCTAGCTGGCTGTGCTAAAAACTGTTTAGAAATAGGGTAGCGGCGCGGGCACGGTCGTGGGAGTTTTTCGGCATGACGTTAGGTTCCGTTAGGTTCCCTACAGTCAACAGAGAACACGCGTAGATATAAGTGGGACGGACGGGTTTTAAGCCTAGCGCAGTCCTGCGATTTTTGGTTGCTCATCGCTGCAACCTGCAACCGCAAGCGATCGGTCGATGCGTCACAGTGTGTGCGCACTTACGTGATTTCGAAGCAATTCTAGAGCAATTTGGGAGCGATTGGGAGCGACGAGTCGCTCAAAATGTCGCAGGTCTGCGCTAGGTTTTAGAGACGGGAGAAGCCCTGAATCCCGCTAGCCCCTCCCGCGGAGCCGCCTCCACGTGCCAACACCTACGAAATGTTACATAGCATCGTAGTGAGCTAATCATAAAGCACTCAGGTACGCGTACGCGTGTGCGCACTGACGAGCTGATGAAAAATCTGTTGAAGGTTGCAGGAAAATAAGGTCGTCACCGCAGGAGATATCGCACATGTACACACACTCAAGCACGCACGCACGCACGCACGCACGCACGCACGCACGCACAAATGCATATGTAGTTAGTTGGAAAAATTGTTCTCGGCAGATTGCCTGTGGGGACGCGCGTGCAGACCAGGTAGATTGTTTTGAACGCGCACGTTGACGGACACCGATAAACGAGTAACATGGAAAACTGGTCACACTCGAGAGATTTTGGCTTATATTCCGTAAAGCCCACACGGTCTACACACAAGCAGACACTGTACAATTCTAAGTTATTAACTCAAAAGAAGAAAACTATATATCCTCTAGTAAGGAAAAGGTAATAGTGAGATAGAAGATGAGAGGGAGCGTAAGAGGAAGGCTTAGAGCATAGAAAGAGAAGCTTTCTGCTCTCC